GCAGACAAGAAGTATGTTTCGATCACACCATACAAAGTTGTGTACATGCCAATGCCGTTCTTAAACAAGAGTGCTAGTGACTGCGGAGTTTATGCTCTGAAATTCATTGAGTGTCATCTTCTAGGATTAGATTTTTCATTGGTGAACGATGACAACATTGTTGAAGCCCGACACAAGATTGCATATGATCTTTGGGAAGCTGCAAACGATCCTGAACTGATCTTGCGAATGTCAAAGTACACACCTCCAAAGACGATTACTTCTAGTGTTGTGGAGCTTTAGGTTCTTGTATTTGAGTTAGCTTTTTATAACTTTGCAGACGTATGTATTTGAATTAGCTTTTTATTTGGATGTATTTGAATTAGCTTTTTATTGGGATGTATTTGAATTAGCTTTTTATAACTTTTTAACTTATCTATACCCTAAACTATACCCTAAACACAATACATTATCTATACCCTAAACTTGTCCTTAAACACAAGAACTTATCTATACCCTAAACTAAACCCTAAACACAATACATTATCTATAACCTAAACTAAACCCTAAACACAATACATTATCTATAACCTAAACTAAACCCTAAACACAATACATTATCTATACCCTAAACTTGTCCTTAAACACAAGAACTTATCTATACCCTAAACATTTTTTTTTTGACAACCCCCTAAACATTATCTATACCCTAAACATGTTCGACATAAAAAAGACCTTATAATATGACCTTATATAATCGTTGAACCTATAATATGACGCTGGTCCTATGAGCCGTTTACCCTAATTGTTTGGTGCTTATATAATCGTTAAACCTATAGTATGCCTCCATCTTATTCATCTATTTTCTCTCTGCGCCTCGATATGACAAGAAGATCGATTCACGGAATCCCTTCCAGATGCTGGTGTGGCAAAAGGATTGTCACATATGTTTCGAAAACAGATGAGAACCCCTACAGACGTTTCTATAGATGCGAGATTGGGTTACAGGTTTATGCACTAAAGCTTATTATTCTGTGAATGTTAATTTTTTCTGATTTAGATCTACGTTTTCTGGTTTTGATTTAGAGGCGGACAGAAGACCATCTCTTTAAGTGGGTCGATGAAGCTATGTTTGATGAACTCCATAGGATTTCTGGAAAACAAGATATAATTGAAGAAGAGATTGAAGAAATGAAAAGGTGTTTGAAGAAGGCAGTCGAAGACGAAGTTATGAAACATAAACATGCGGTTGATGTAGGTTGTATTGGCGTAATTCAATGGATTTTCGAAAGAATTTGTAACAGAGATTGAAATATAATAATAAAGTTCTTATCTTTTCCCAGTACAAGCGATATTAAGCATCAATGATCGAACTAAGTGAATGAAAAGTATGACTAAAATCGAGAAAAAAAACCAGAGTTGTATATCAATGATCTATCAAAGAGAAAACTGAATCCATAGAAATCCAAACAGCCAAGGTCAGAATAAAAATCCAAAGAAAAACCAGTGCTCTATATTGCCCTATCACATCTCGACCTATTGTGACCTTCAATCCCACACCTACTGCATTTGCGTCTCTTAGGACCTTGACTTCCTTGTGACGCACGAATTTTGTCTTCGACTGTCTCGTATCTTCGTTTCCTTCTCCTTCCTGCTGCTCTTCGACTCTGCGGAGGAAGAACTTTCGAAATCTTCACATTTTCTGGGACAACCCATGCATCTTCTGGGACACTTATCGGATTTATGCTTTCCTCATACACTGAGATCCAAGAAGAAGTTGTGTAGTGATCGTCAGTCAAACTGTGAACTTCTCTGCCCACACTGAAACCTGCTTTAATGGCGTGCCTGCATGGGATCTTTATCAAGTCAAATTTTCCACAAGAACATGTGNCTTCACATTTTCTGGGACAACCCATGCATCTTCTGGGACACTTATCGGATTTATGCTTTCCTCATACACTGAGATCCAAGAAGAAGTTGTGTAGTGATCGTCAGTCAAACTGTGAACTTCTCTGCCCACACTGAAACCTGCTTTAATGGCGTGCCTGCATGGGATCTTTATCAAGTCAAATTTTCCACAAGAACATGTGCGCCTCACCAGATCAACCATACAATCAATAACGTCTCCACGAACCAGAAACCGGTCATCAGTAATCGGATAAACTTTAAACGTCTTTCCCTTCTGAATCCTTCTGTCAACCTTTTTTTCCACAGCTTTGGTCAATGGCTTATTATGCTTAGAACTCTTCTTTTTACGTTCAAAAAACCAGCGAGTCATCATTTCCCTTATACTGTCCAACAAAGGAATGATCGGAAACTCTCTTGGCGAACGCAATGCAGCATTTATCGATTCAGCAGGATTATTGGTCCTAATATCATACCTAAAACCTGGAAATTGACAACGAGCCCACTTTCTCACATCTGCATCTATAAGATATTTTCCAATCTTGGGACTAATTGCGCAAACAGCTGTGAATATCTTCTGAAAATCAGCAACTCGATATGCTTTAGAAGCCTTTGCAACCAAACCAACCACACCTTTTCCTTGGTTATTTGTTACAACATTATTCAGCAGGTGGTGAATGCAAATTCCATGATTAGATTGGGGGTATACGTTTGCAATAGCTTTAGCAAGTGAGGTATTTCTATCAGACACGAAAGCTAAACTCTGCTCGTCACCAATAACCACTTTTAGTTGTCTCATAAACCAGTCCCACGAGCAGTCATTCTCTGAGTCGACAACTCCAAATGCAATTGGATATAAGTTTGAGTTTCCATCCAAAGCAGTAGCAACTAGTAAAACACCTTTGAATTTGCTCTTCAAAAACGTTCCATCAAGAACAATAACTTTTCGAATGGCTTTGTAAAAACCTCGGACACACTGCCCAAACGCGAGGAAAAGGAATCTGAATCTCCCATACCTGTCAGTTTCGTAACATGTGTGTGATCCAGGATTAGCTTCCTTCATCATGTGCAAATATTTGGGAATCTTTCCATAACCTGCTTCTGGAATACCTCTCATTATGTTGATAGCATACTCACGAGCATCCCATGCTAAAGACTTTGACACCTCGATCCCATGGTCATCACGCATAAGCTCGATGACATCATTACATTTTGGCCCCTCCTTCACACCATCGTACTTATGCTTAATCAGCTCACCAATGGTTTTTGCTGAAGCTGTCCTTACAGATTTGTGCCTTGCTGATGCAGCACATGAATGTTCAGCAACATATTTTCTGATAATGAAGTAGGAAGAACCGTTTAATCCTTCAGCACGAACTCGCCAGCCGCAATCATCATCTGCGCAACGAATATACCAAATTTTGGTATCAGATTTGACGAGTTTATAGTCAAAATTATGTTGCATTGCACAGATTTCGAAAGTCGACTTCAGTGACATTTTACTACTAAAATGTTGGCCCTCCTTCACAACATCCAACAAAGCAAATCGTAGGTTATCTTCCATGTTCCCCTCTGCACCATCACTTTCGTACTTCTCAATGTGTAATCGTAGATTATCATCCTTGTTTTCCTCTGCATCATCACTTTCGTCCTCCTCCATGTGTTCTCCATCCGAGGTATTATCATCCTCTCTGCTGGCCGAGGAAGATGCTATGGTATTGAAGTTTACATGTGCATCGGTATTGCAATTCGCATCCTTTGACTGAAGACAGACGCATAACTGCGTGGAAGGTTTGCTCTTGACATAACTTACAAAATTTGTGACTTGCCGGTCACAACTAATGATAACCGGAGGACAATCGAGGGTATTAACCAAATCAGAAGGTAGATAGCTCAACTCGAGATTGACCAGAGTTAGATCGATTCCAAAGTCCGTACAAACCATCAACTTTAGGTTCTCAAAGGTTGAGCTTGCATCCAAATTCAGTAACCTTCCCCCCTTTGCTTTATCAGCAACAAAACTCCATCCTCTAACCGACGAGTTCCACATACCACAGAAAGAGTAGA